TAGGAGGAGCATGACTGGCATAATAAGATACGACGTAGCGATCGGGAATCCTGAACAGTTTTAATATTTTTACGATTGACATTTGTCAATATATATGATGGACATATATTTTAGTTATTTTAAAGTGAAGACAAGGCATACATTGAGTAGCACCTGAAGATGGCATTTTTATGCCGAAACATGTAGTGAGAGTGAGAGAAGAAGATAGATATAAGTGTACGCACTGCAAGACGGATTAAACAAATCATGAACTTAAATCAGTGCAACAGGACGCTAAAATATAACATACTGTTAATAGTCTTAAGAGAAAGCTGAATGTGATGGAACCAAATGCCAATAATAACCGAAGTCTAGTACAGATTTTAACGAACCATATCACTGGAACATGCCTTTTAAATTATACTGGAAATTTCATTAGTATTTGCACCAGGCATCAGTAAGACTTAAGTTTCAAGCAGATGTAATTGAAAATGTGGGAAATGTTTTATGTGAGTCAGAGCTTTACCTGTATTTGACTAGCTCCTGTACTGCTTACATCAGTCTGTGGCAGCTGGTATAACTCTTAAGTTATTTTATTCATGTCACTGCTGATCAGAGGGGTTGTATTTCCGTGTTCTTCCCTGTGTAGACAATAAATGAACACACATGAAGGTTTGTTATGCCAGATTTTTAGGGCTTTATAGGGAGGTACTGCTTACAAGAAAGATGTCCTTTCCACAGGATGAGTGTCTTATCTGCAGAAATATTGAGGTTAGGAAGGTATGGGATTTAAAATTTATAATTATATGGCCAAAGATAGGATTGATTTTGAACAGTTTTGGAGACCCTACCTAAATGTATTTTGTGCTCTTGTCTATGTGATATAAGAACCTGCAGAGTGATGCATATCACTTTGTTCATTGTTCTGACTTACATGTTTCTGTACTAACACTGGGTCTATCAACATCATTATCACCATCGTGATCACTAATATAATTCGTGTCCTCTTCTTTATCATAAATAGTATCGCCTGAATCCATTTTGTGAAATATCTTAATGTCGATGCTGATACCATTGTTATGTGAAAGACAATGAAGACTTGAGGATAGCAGAAAATGTCGTGAACATACACACTGATTGAATGAATGTGGAATTTTGTAGGATTTGAGGTTCTCACAGCAGTGGTTATGAAGAGTTCGTCTTCTGGGATATAACACTTTGTAACGTGTTGGAAGTCTGCTGACATTTTGGAGGATCATATGGCCTCGAAATTCAGAGTCAAAGAAAAAGACAAGAAAGAAACTAGTGTGAAGCAGGCCTTATGCTAGTTTCTTGCTGGACTTATTCTTTGACCCTGAAGATGAGGCAACTTGTTCCTCAAAAATTTAAGAGGACTACATGGTGTTATATCACAGAAGATAGAACTCTTCAGCATGGAAGAGCGCAATGCAAGTGTGCTATTAAGTCAGTCAGATCATTTAAAAACTGTCAGTTTTGTGTGTTCATGTGTAGACATAAAGTTGATGATGTCTGCTGTCAGCCACATGAATCTTATCTGCTGCCAAAGAGAGGTTCTTAGAATTACAAGACAAAAGCAGACACATCATACTGTAGTACAAAACCTGTGAATATGTTTTGTGCATCATAAGAAAGTGGATCAGTACTCATTAAAATTACATGAAGGGTGACAGAATGTTTTTAAAACCTGCTGAGAAACAGAGTTACAAATTAGCCACTTGCATGCTGTGAGTATCAGTTAGTTTTTGCACTCTAATGAGCAACACTGTATTCTATAAAATTTATCTCATCTCATCTCATTTATTTACATTCCATAAATCCACTACATATAGGATAAGGAATTAGTCATTGATAGTACAAATAACACTACATAGAAATAACAGTATAAGATTCATTACATTATTCAATACCATAATAGATCACAGTTAATTATTGGAGTCAAATTTACAATCAAAGTATTCTTCCAAGGAATAAAACAAGTTCATCAACAAAAATCTTCTTAAAACAATTTTAAAATGTTTAACATCTTGAGCCAAGTTCCTTATATTAGAAGGAAGCCAATTAAAAACCTTAATTCCGTGGTAGTACACTCCTTTCGGAAATACAGTCAACTTACATATAGGATAATGGAATTTATTATTATATCTTGTATTCCTATTATATAACTCAGAATTTAACTTAAGTTGATCTTTATTATTAACCACAAACATTGCAAGAGAAAATATATACTGAGATTGCAAGGGTAAAATTTCCAATTCCCTGAACAATTCCCTACATGAATCTCTGTTACCAGAATTCATTATAATTCCAATCGCCCTTTTTTGCAACCTGAAGATATGTATACTATAAGGGGAATTTCCCCAAAAAACCAAACCATAGGTCATAATTGAATGGAAGTAAGAAAAGTAAATCATTCTTAATGTACCCTGAGACATGTAAGATTTTAGGGCTCTAATCGCATAACATGCGGAGCCCAATCTAGACATTCACCAATCCACGTGTTCATTCCAAGACAATGTGTTATCAATAATAAGCCCCAGAAACTTAGTATTTGTAGTGTTAACAATCCGATCATCATCCTCATCAATATGAATATCCATCGGCTGGCGGTTCTTAGTCAAAAATTCAATAAAATGTGTCTTCTCGAAATTTAATGTCAATAAATTATCTTGAAACCAATCATTTATGTTTTGAAATAATAAAGAAGCCTTGAATTTGTAATCAGCAGACCTAGGGTTAGTAATGACTATGCTAGTATCATCAGCAAAAATAATGGGTTTGGACTTGTTCGATATGGTATAGGGCAAGTCATTTATATACAACAAAAACAACAAAGGACCCAGAATCGAACCTTGGGGGATTCTGTTTTTAATTTTCCCCCATTCTGAGTACCTCAGACCATTATTCAGAACAACTCTCTGATGCCTCTCAGCAAGGTACGACTTAATCAAAGCACCAGCCTTATCAGCCACGCCGTAAAATTCCAGTTTCGATAGTAATATATTGTGATTGACACAATAAAATTTATTAAAAGTTATTCACGTTAAAAGTTTATCCTTACATGTTTCGACCAATGTGGTCATCATCAGGTGTTCAAATTATTGGGCAAGAAAACTACCCTCTTCTATTGTTGCTCATGTTGTTAATATATGTTCCCTTGATGTGTATGTGTGTTTGGGTTGGTGGTTTGTATTCTCTCCTGTTGTGTGTTGTGCTTGGCATCTTTGTTTTAAAATTCATTCAAAATTATATATATATATTTACAACATAAGTAACAACAGAAGACAGCAGTTTCCTCACCCAATAATTTTAAAGCCTGATGATGACCACATGGGTCTAAACATGTAAAGGTAAACTTTTAAAGTGAATGACTTTTAATAAATTTTGTAGAATATAGTGTTGCACGTGAGACTGTAAAAAAACTTATCCATCCTGGAAAGTGCAGCAGAATGCTACAATATAATATTATGCCGTGAGTATACTTATCATCCCAGAGCATACGGCATGGTTGGCTTCCACACTGGCGGGTTAATTTGTCGTATCATAGCTATTAAAGATGAAAAATTAAATAGAAAGTTGTAATTTTCATCTTCCATTGCATACAGTACATGGGATATATTAAAAATTGATCATTTGGAAGATTCTCAAGGTTAACAGCATTACTGATGTACTGCATGTGTTGGACAGTGACATTTGACACGCAAGCTTAACATAATGAATGACAGACAACATGAAGGGGCAACTGCTGGTATGCATTGTACATATTGTTCTCATTTCTTTCCCAAAACATCTTTAAATATATTGTTTAGTTCTGACCATACAATGGTGTAGCTGTGGTGTAACTAGGGGAGACAGCAAACAAGATAAACAGTGAACACATGAGAGATGCTGTCCTTGAGTAGCAGGGAATTGAAATATATAAACATATAAAAATGTCCTATTTTTAGTGCTGATACAAACACCAGTGAAGCATGTAAGATGGAATGGCACAGAAGTTTCACTTTATTTTATATCACATCAAAAGTATGAAGGACTGACATTCAAATAAATTAATGTTATGGTGGAATCCTAAAAGTACTAATTGTGTGATATTCTTCTGCAGAGTGTCACTGTGGGAAAGAGGTACGTGAAGTTCTGTGTACCCGAGAGTCCTCAGCTTCAAAATACTTTTCCTGTGGTGGAGTGTGTGAAAGAAAACTCTCTTGTGGGAACCATCCTTGTGGTCTGAAATGTCACCCTGGACCCTGCCCTGACTGTGAACTTTCGCCAGATAAGGTGACACATTGCCCCTGTGGGAAGATGTCTCTGGCAGATAAACAGATCCGATCAAACTGTTTGGATCCGATCCCTACTTGTGAACAGAAGTGTAACAAAAGACTGCAGTGTGGACAGCCAAGTAAGTATTAGTAATAGTTGGGAAGAGATGTAGGTAGGTGACAGGTTACAGTGACTCCTACATAAATACCTATACATGCATGTCACTTCACTCTTACCATTTTGACTGTGTAAGCCATGTGAGGAAGTATGTGAGTTAGTAGGAGGGAGTGAAAGAAATCACACGTCCCCATGCAGGAATGCAGTGGAACTGTGGATAATGCACATTTCATTGTCACATTTAATTCATCCATTTTCCTTTTGTGTGAAAGTGTGAATGATAATGGTGGGCTTTTATGGTGATAATGATAACCTTTTGAATCTATAACATGAAATTTATTGAGCATTTGAAAATACCTTGGACTGCTAGAAAGGATGACTTACAGCAGAAAGCTGGATAATACATAAGTAACCATACGGTGCACACCTGAACCCCCTTTCAGGAAGTTGATCTGTGTATTGGATTGAGGTAGGATTGGGATATGGTCCATTGTATGAACATGACATACTAAAAACAAATCTGTTTTCTTCTTAGCCATATTCCCCCTCTCCCAGCTTCTGCATTGTTGTGGCATAAATGAAAGCTAAATATAGCTAATGCAGGCAGAAACCTTATTCTGGCTGTACTGTATTCAGGTGCCTGATTGCTATGATCCCATGTTGACTTTTTAAGATTCAGAACTCTTGCATATCTTGCTGAGTACTTACAGATAAATGTCACTTGCAAATTTCTGTTGTTCATTTGGTTTCAGGTGATCCACATTTATGTCAGCTGGATTGTCACAGTGGACCGTGCCCTGTGTGCCCTCTGACTACAATGGTTAAGTGTAGATGTGGCAACATGGATCGGGAAATATTGTGCCAGGATCTTACCACTAAGGCTGATGATGCTAGGTGTGAAAAGAAATGCACGAAGGTATGAATTTCTATTAAATTATACCTTTTCACCACTCTGCAATCTGTGCACTTTTAGTATCTTTGTGTCTTTGATGTTCATGTTTAAATCATATTAAATCCCACAGTCAATCTCATTACACAAAAGTAATGACACCAGCGCTTCCAGTACCTTCTGTGTTATCACTAAGCAAAAGTCACATTTATTTAATGTGTTAATCAGCCAATTTCTGGGAGAGTAGACAGAAAATGCAGGCATTTTGTGAGCAATAGGAAATGAGTGTGGGTATTTGTGAAATTGATATCAGTACATGTTCTGTCTTATAAGTACCACAGTGTTGTGTTACTTTTCTAGAAACGGTCGTGTGGAAAACACAAATGCAACCAGCTCTGTTGTATTGATCAGGATCATGTATGTCCCCTTCCTTGCAACCATCAGTTAAACTGTGGACAGCATCGTTGTGAAGACACTTGCCATCGTGGTCACTGTCCACCTTGTTGGAGAACAAGTGAGTAATAGAGCTGTGATATTTATATGGAACAGAAACAATTTGTTGAAGTGACTGGTTTCTATGTTAACATTTAAGCCGCCAGATTGCATTTAACTTCAGCCAAATAAAACTTCTCTGAGCATTTTGACATATGGTCAGACACAGCAGTTGCATAAAGAAACCAGGTTAGTGAAGCTGTAATACTCTATATTTATATTTGTGAGGCACCCAGTTCACAGTACTTGCTTTCCTAAACTTATATGGTCTGTCCAGGTGAATAATGGGATAGAATGTTGTTATATGTCATGGTTACCTCCTTCTGACTTCTTACATATTACCCATTCATGGTTACCTTTCCATCTTATTCAACACTATAAAAGTAAACAATTGAAACGGTATAATTAAATTATCTTAAGAATCAGTCACACTTCAAACTCTACTTTCAGTTTTCTCTCCCTTGTATGTTACATGCCTCCCTTCTCATCTTCCATGTTAGACCTCCACTCCCCAATATATCTTAATGGTATGGGTTTTAACTGAGGACAGAGACAACTTTTATTGTGTTTGGGGAAGGCCCTGTGAAGCATTTCATAACATGCTACATTTTGGAGTGGGAGATTTGTAGCCCCCCCTTCATGAACTCTCAATCTGGAGGATCACCCTTTGTCAATTTTCTGCAGCTGCTTTTTCCCTTTCTTTTCATTTCTTGGTTTTTTCTTCGTAGTTTGTTCCTTAATTTCTGTTCTTTTACGTGTTGATTTTTGTTGAGAGGTTTGCCAGTTACAGTTTTCACTGTTACAGGTTTTGATGAGCTGTACTGTGAATGTGGATCAAGTGTATTGTATCCTCCCATACCTTGTGGCACAAGGCGCCCAGAATGCTCAAGACCCTGCTCACGACCTCATTCCTGTGAACATCCAGCTCTTCATAATTGCCATAGTCAACCTGTTTGTCCACCATGCACAGTACTTACACAGAAATACTGCTACGGTAAACATGAGGTAAGCATGAAGAAAGCAGTCTTCTGGGATGTGGCACTGTGTAGATGTGGTCTTAACCGACGCTTCGGAGGAATCGCCTCCATCTTCAGGGTAGATTTGATGTGGTGTTGCACTTTCTCAAAAACGATCAGTGCGGGATTAACATTCATGGGTACCAAGAATTCTGACCGATAGATGCAGGAAAACGATAAATCAAAGAACGATCGATGCGGGTTTTATTTCCATAGTTTAAATAGGATTTGTTCAGGGACCACAGAAATTGAACGATGGACCCGGGAGAACGATATATCTGGGAACAATAGATCGAGGTTTCACTGTACTGGGAGATTTAAGTCCCAGCTCTCAGACAGCAATGATTAATTAAGCACCGTGCCAGGAAACATATTGTAACGTGTTTACGTTACTGAAGACGCCGTAGAGATGGTTAATTGGTTTATTTAACAATCTACAAATAACGGCTACAATTACTTATCACAGTTGCGGGGTTTCACACTTTATAACCCTAAGCGCATTAATCTGTCGACACTGTTGCGGGGTTTCACGACTTATAACCCTATGCGCAAATCAGTTCACTCTGTCTTCAGTAGTCTACACGTTTACCGTAGGGGAGCTTTGTATCACTGTATCACACGCTCCCAATTACACAATTACACACACGTCCGGATCTTCTTTCCGCGACGGCTGCTATACTCCAACTTGTAGTCGGCTGGCTGTTACTTTATAACTCGGAATGTCTTCGGCGGTAGCCACACTGGAACTCGAACTC